GGATGTTATTAAAATTAATTTCACCTTTCTTTTTACTTCTTTTAAAGAATTACTAGGAAATTTTAAATTACATATCGGCTCACATTTGTGGCTAGAATCATGTTTCTATTGGACAGCACTGGTCTGACATTTAAAAGATGAGGAGACTAACACAGCAATTCTGGAGTGTTCAGGAAGTGCATACACACGCAAATACAGACACACACACACAGAGTCTGATTAAAATTTAAATACAGCACAAACATGAAGTCTATAACTCCAGGAAAATTCTTCTGGCAATCTGAAGTGCAAGTGATGAATAAAAGTAATTGTGACAGCTTTCCCTCCCACCAGGACAGGGATTCTGAAGGACTCAAAATCTCCTTTCCAGCAAGAACACCTGGCAAGGATGAGCCTTCACTCTAGCACCTGTCCTTCAGGTCTCATCCAAGGCCAACTAGCTGGGGTGCGGGCCTCCCTGCCACACAGCCAAGACTCCTTCAGAGGTGGCCCTTAAGGCAGGCTCAACCGGGGGGCAAACATGTGGCACAGGACACCCGCTCAACAGGGTTCAGGGGAAAGTCAGCTAGGGTGATAAACAAGAAAATAAAGTATAAGCGGGAAAGTGTAATTGCAGCGCATCATGGTGGATCACGTAGTCCGGCACCTTTCAAACTTTTTTCACCATGACTCACAGTAGCAATTCCATTTCTTATCATGCACATACATCAGCAAGTATAAATAAAAGTTTCATGAGACAACACTTAACCTTCAATACCGTGCTGTGCCTCTGTTGGCTTTTGTTCCCCTATATTCTACTCTATTTTTTATGCTGATTGGGACCCACTAAATTGATTTTACAACACACTAATAGGTCGTGGCACAGCCTCGCCTGGGTATGGTAAATAAGAGGTGCAGAGCCCACTCTGTGACAGCCACTGCACCTCACTCTCCAGAACATGGGCCTATGGATGTGACCTCAGAATCCTTCTCAACACAGTGATCCAGGCAGCTACAGCCAATCACTTGGAGTTAGAATCTGAGATGAAACCTATTTATTATTGCTGTTGTTCTGATCCCAAGCTCTCGTCTTACAAATGCAAAAACTGAGGCTCAGAAGGAAAAAGTGATTTGTGCAAGGTCATACAGCAAGACTGTAAGAAAGCTAGGACTCCTGTGAACCCACAAATCTACTTCACTTTACATCTGCAGAGAGGAGACATAGCCGACACAAAACATTACAAGAATGTGGAAAAATTCAAATTTCACCATAACCATGAAAAGTCAGCTTCTACATCCAGTAGAACACAGCAAGGAAGTCCCTATCACCACACCAAGGAGAAGACATGAGAGTTCTGAGGTCAGAGGAAGCAGCATGCCAAGAGCTGAGTCAAAGGTGGGGGTAAAATTGTATCTGACAATGGAGGAGTTTTTAAACTCTGCTTCTCAAATGAAACAAACCATTGGCTGTTTATTTTCTAGGACCAGGGGAGAGGTCAGCCTTCTACTGACCAGTCATCTTTGTTGCTTTCCTTCTGCAAAAGCAAGAGGCCTTGTTCAAGTTCACCACTGTGCAGGGCTCAAGTATAAGCAAACCCTGTTTCCTTGCTTGGTCCAAAGTCAAGCTATAAAGCAGGCCCTTGAAATTTCAAACCTTATTAGAAAAAAAAAACCTCCTTAGGCAGAAAAGCAAAACATTAAGTAATAAGAGTCTCCACTGTGAAAGAGAGTATAAATGATCTTTCACCAAAATAACTCAGCCCATCATCAAATTACCACCCCTCAAGTCCAATTTGCCAGATTTTTTGCCCAATATTATAAGAGAGTGTGGTAAGCAGACATGGGCTAATAAAAATTAGCTCATACATCCATTTCTGGTCACACTTCCATCTAAAATAGGAGGTGAGAGAGGAGAGGCCCAGGTCAGATCTCAATCCTGAGAGATGCCAATAGAAACAAAAGAAAACTGACCCCGCCTCCAACAGTACCATCATGCACCTCTTTTTCCTCTACAACAAACATGATCAGAATAAACAATTTCTTTTTAAAAGGGAAAAACAGGTCTACAAAGCAGAAATGATTTTCAATTTCTAGCCAGGAGTTCCCTTTAAAACGTAGACAACAAAATTTCAGCAGAATGGAATGAAGGAATCTGAGTTGTGTGTCAGGAGAGCCAGGGCACACAAAGGGACACGCTGCAATTATTTTTATTCCTTGCACCAGAAATAACCTGTTATCTACAACCCACACTTTTTCTCAGATGCCTAGTAGGGGTGCCCACCTACCCCTCCCCAACCCAGGGCACAGCCCTCCTATCTTGCTAAACTCAGGTCTACTGTCTCATGAGGCCACCAGAGCCTTTGGAAATTATAAATTCTCTGACTATCCTAGACATTGGCCTAAATAATTCACCAGCAAAAAATTATTTTTAATTATGCTACTTAAAAAAAAAAAAAAGTTCATTCCCAATAATGTCATAATGTGGCCAGTCAGCCCTGAAGGATTTTGTTACTAAAAAAATAAAATCTCCGAAATGCAATGGTGATGATGGGAAATGTCAAACCTCTGCCACTGTCAAATATATTTCACAGAATTCATATCCCCTTAGAAATCTGAATTTCTATAAAACGGGGTTGGGAAGCCATGGACTGGGGCTACCATTTCTTCGAAGACCAGCTTGTGGCTGGTGACACAAAGATTCCTGTCCCAGCCCCGTGTAACCCACCATCAGTTCCCCACCCAAGATCTCACCCTGCAAATGCTGACAATATTCCCCCCTTTAGACAGAAAATTTAGAAATTTTGTTTTTGTATTTGGTTCAAAATCCCAGCAAGTTCAATCAGATAGTAAGTAATTCATTACCAATAGCCCTTCAACTTTGGGTGGGTACCCTATTTTCATCTGTTAAATTTTAATTCAGTCAATATTTGTCTTCTAAAAAAAAATTTTTTTTTTTTTTGTTTCACCTTCATTTGATTCATTTTAAGGCCAAAAATACATCAAATGTCGTTTGCATATGTGTTTTCAAGTACCTTTGGGATTGGCTTTTGTTTGTATTTTGATTTTTTTTTTCCTTCAAAAATAAAATCAAAATTTGATGCTGGAATCAGCTGAATTGGTGTTTTTACCCCATTTTTTCTGCAAAGTAAGTGTTCCACTAGTAAAGGTGGATGAGAATCAGAATTTTCATCTCCTCTCTGTCCTTCCCTTTTTATCGTTCCTTCTTTCTTATTAATTCAGTAAAATTTGTTTTAAAAAAAAATCACAAACACCCCCAATGATCAAGGCTAATGGATTTTTCTTCCCCTTTGAAAGTAATCAAATTTGTGGAAAAAATAGCGAATGTTAATAAACTACCAAGCCCACATCACAATCAAAGAGGCCTGAGACCAATCTGGATTTTTTTTTAATAATAAATTTTTCAAATTGGAAGAGTGAGCAAGCACAGAGAAGGGAAATTTTTCTTCCTCCAAGAATTCCTCAACCCTTGTCTTTATCAACTGATTCAGTTACATGTCATAAAAAATGAGCTTCTGTGAATCCACTGTTAGTTTTTTCATAATAATGTTAATTATGCATATCTTATTTTAATGGCGGTCTCTCCTACAAATCTGTGGGCTACTCAATTTGTATAATGTAATGAATTTACATTTTTTCCACTGAATATTGCTCAAAAATGGTTTCTGACATTTTCTGAATAAAACAACAACAAGAAAAAGAAATGCCTACACCTTTCAGAAAACAAAATCAGAAAACAGTCTTAATTATTCCATCAAAACGAAACAAAATAACACAAAACCCAACAAACGCAGGGGAAAAAATGAAGATTTCACTCTAACTTTTCCAGTTTCTGTTTTTCTTTAGAACCTTGGGATTTAAATGCAGTAAAATATAAATGTAAAATTTAGAAAAAAAAAATCCTACTATTTCTGGGTGTGTCCAAAGCCAACATTTTAGGGTCTATTTTCTCTTTTAAATCCTTCCTTCTTGGAAATAGAAAAATTTAAATATTGCCAAATAGTGAAATTAGTCTTTTTTGCCCGCTGAGCTAAACAAGTTCCAAATTACAATGAAGTACAATTTCTAATTGCTTCATAAAGCCAATTTCTCCCAGTTTTCCCTAAACTCAACAATTTCCCTCCTTTCCTCATTCCAATTAGTTTTTTTCTCAAACTAAAATGAGTTGAGCAGCCAAATTAACCGGTTTTAGGAGGCTTTTTGCTTTCATCCCTTCAAAAACTGAATTCATTCAAATTCCAGCTTAATTTTCATTTACATATTATCTGGATTTGGCTTCAGAAATAAAAATTGTCTTCAAGCTGCTGGAAAGATCAAAGAGAACATTTTCACCCCAAAAAGGAAAAAGAAGAATCCCTTTCCCCTCTACTGCCTTATAGTGCAAACTTTTGAAAAAATAAGAAATAAAAAATATTTCTTTTCAATTTTAATTTCTTTTTTTATTTACAAAATAGTATCCTCTAGGTGGCGTCGTTTTAATGGGAAAAAACTACCGTTTGAAGAAAAATTAGAAAAAAAAATGAGAAAGGGAAATATGGCCTAAAAAAAAGATTGTTGCAAAGATGGGGGGCTAGAGAGGAAAGACCTCCCGGGGGGCCATCAGGAACCCGGGCGCTGAGGGGTCAGGGGGAAATTGCAAATTTGGAGGGGAGGGGGGAAAGCTGGAAGGGGTTGCATTTTTGCAAAATGTGAATTGTCCAAACTGAAATGGCTGCTCTGTTCTCTCACCGCTTTGTTTTCTGGGCTCCGGTCCGAGCCCGGGGCCGAAGAGGGCGCCGGGTGGGGGTCCGAAGAGACCCCCTCGTCTCTCCCACCCTCCTCGCACCCCGCGGCGCCCGGGGGGGCTAGCCAGACCCCGACCCTCCCGTTTGCGCCCACAAAAAGCCCTCAAACGTGCCCAGGCACTTTGCATTTTGCAAATCTTGCAATGAAGTGGCGCAGCGCCCCGGGCCGCGGCCCCCCGGGGTCCCCCGCGCAGTGCATGCCCCCGGCCCCCGTCGTACCTGCGGAGCCGCCGCGCCGCCCGGCTGGTTCATGGGTCCGTGCGGGAGGAGGCGGCCCCGGCGCGTCCTGCTCCTCCCGGGCCGGGCTGCTGGTGCGCGCACAATGCCGCCGCCGCCGCCGCCGCCGCCGCTCCCTCCTCCGCCCGCCCCGCTCAGGCCGGGGGGGCGGGGGCGCGGGGGGCGCGCGGGGGGGGCGCCCGGCCCTCGCCCCCACCTCCAGCCCGCGCCGGCCGCCGCCGCCGCCGCCGCCGCCGAGCTGCCCCTCGCGGGGCCGCCACCGCCCCCCGCCGCCCTGCCCGCCCCCGGGCCGGCCTCGCCGCGCGGCCCGCGAGCTCCGGGCCTCGGCCTCGGCCTCCACGCCGCCGGCCTCCGCGCCGCACACAAAGCCGGCCGGCCCCCGGGCGCGCCGCTCCCGCCCCCCCCCCCCCCCCGGGCCGCGGCGCACCCGCCCCCCAAACTTTCCCGCGCCGCGCCCTGCCCTCCTCGCGCCCCGGTGCCCGCCCCCCGGCGCCCTTCTGCCCGCCCCCCCGTTCTCCGGCCCCTCTGAAAGGTCATTTTCACGTTGGAAAAAAAGTTTAGGGAGCCGCCTCTCAGCGGAACACAAGGGGTTAATGGGAACTCTTCTGCTCCCCCCACCCACCCCCCAAAAAATTAAATTGATTTTTTAAATAAAGTTTGAAGAGCTGGCCTTGTGTGAGGCTCTATGAAGGTACGCCTATGGCCCAACACCCCCTCCAAGAAACCTAATGTCATTTAAAAATGAAAGTTCGAAGAGCTGGCCCTATGTCAGGCAAGAGCTGTTAAGGGGACTCTTTCTAGCCCCCCAATCAGATTGATTTTAAAAATAAATATTTGAGGAGCTGCTTTATAATTATATGAGCAGAGTATTTCTATCTACCCTAGTTAAAAAGATATTTTAAAGAACGTTTATTTCTTTAAAAGTTTGAAGAAGTGACCCTCTGTAAGACAAGAAGGGTTAAAGGCTAAGGGGTGATAGCTCCCTCCCATATCCCCCAATCAAGTTCATTGTAAAAACAGAAAAGCTTGAGAAACTGTTTCTATGTGAAATAAATGGTGAACACAAATATGTCTATCCAACACCTTAAAATATCAGTTTTTTTTTTTTTTAGTAAATGCTTCCTTATGACTTGGGAAATTTTAAAGGGGTTATTTATTTATTTATTTTTTTCTGTTCTCCTCACCCACCCCAAAAATCGATTTTTTAAAAAAAATCAAGTGTGAAGGACCTCCCCCTAAAGAGACAAGAGGGATTACTGGGTCCATCCTACATCTCCTACAATTGATTTTTAGAATACAAATTTGAAGAACTGCTTATATATGAGATGAGAGAGATCTTTCTTTGCCCTTCCCCAAGAGAAAAATATAAGGATACTTTTTTTAAAATAAAGGCATTGGAAATTAAGGATAAATGGGTATATATTTACTGCCTTCACCTTTAAAAAATTTAAAGAGCTGGATCAATATGAGACAAAAAGGGTTACAGAAGTTTTTCTCTGCACTCCTCCGAAAAGTTACTGTGTTTTAAGTGTCAGACAGTATGAGGGACAGTACACTTCCTCTCCCTGAAGAATGAAAATGTGAGCGACTGTAACCCTCCATAGGAGGCATAGAATTAAGAGACACACTCTTAACAGGACCAGACACACCTGGACACACACACACACACACACACACACGCGCGAGGTTAAGAGGGATCTTCTAACCATTCCCTTACCCCCCCCCCCCAAAGTTGGAGAGTCATTAAAAATAACATGTTCGTTTCCCTCCCTGCCAGTCTGGCAAGTATGTTCCTGGCAGAGGTTCGGCAGCCTTTGCCAAAGCTGGTGTAAGGCAGACACCAAGGGGAGCAGGGCAGCCTGCAGAGTTTGGCAGAGTTGGGTTCCCATGAGCCCTGGGCATATGTGCTGGCCAGTCAACCCCCTGCCTGCCTGTCCCTCATCCACCAGGAGGCTGAGGCCCTGTTGCCTGGACAGGTGACCAGCTTTAATGTCTCTGGCTCCATCCCTGTGTGAAGGTTTCTGGGCACCTGCCTCAAGGCCAAGCCCTCTCCTCTGCCTGGTGGAGCTAAGCCTGACCTTAAGCCCCGGAATAGAAAGAAACTGGACCCAAATAACATTGCATCTCAGTCACCAGCCTCAGAGCTGTAAGGTCTCGAGGAGGGGAAAGCTTGCACCGGGAGTCAGGAAAACATGATGCAATTCATATTCACTTAGAACTTACTATGTGCCCAGCACTTTATGTACAGTAGGGCAGACATGACATGGGGCAGAGGACTGCTTGAAGCAGCCCTTCTCAAACTTGAGCAGTCCTGAGTCACGGGGAGGACCTGTGCAAACACTGGTTGTTGGGCCCCTCCCAGAATTTGCATTTCTAACAAGTTCCCAGGTGATGCTAAAGCTGCTGCTGTAAGGACCACTTTTTTAAAAAACCACTGCAATACAGCAAAATGAACAGGTTCAGGAGAAGGAGGGAGGACCCAACTCAGCCTATGGGATCGGGGAAGTTCCCAACACCCTGCTGGAAAGTTCCCAGCACCCTTCCTCTCGGGATCCTAACCATAATCAGATAGCAGGGGCTCTCTGGAGCAGGGTTCTTTTTTTTTTTTTTTTTTATCCTCACCCGAGGACATTTTTTGCATTCATCTTCAGATAGAGCGGGAGGGGGGAAGAGAGAGAGAGAAACATCAATGTGAGAGAGACACATGGAGTGGTTGCCACCCACACAACCCCAACTGGGGCCGGGGACAAACAGGATCAGGGTTCTTAAACAGAGACCTCGAGTAGGTCTAGGGACCCATAAACTAAGCAATTTTGTTTTAAGTAAATTTATGTCTATGTGGACATTTTGGGGGAGAAAATCTCTGACTTTCACCATTTTCTCAAAAGGGTCAGTTACACCAACTGAAATGATCTGCAGCCTGCTTCCAGAGTTCTCTGGCCTGGGCAATCCTCGTGGGTACTTCTCGGCCTTCTCTTTCTGGAATCACAGCAAGCTCTTCCTGCTACTCGACCACCCACCGGCCACAGGAGCTGGGCCTTCTCTCTGTCAGCACATCCCAGCAGAGAGCCCAGGGTGCACTCAGCACCGCCTTGGACAGGCATGTCCTCCTCGGGGGTCCCAGCCCTGGAGGGTCTGTCTCTTCTTCACTCTGTTCCAGCTGGGCCACGAAGGCTATGCTGAAGGGACAAGGGCTGAACTTGCTGTCTTCCTGACAAAATCCAGTTTCTAAATGAAGACACACATTTCCCAAACCATAATGGAAGCTCTGCAGTCACCCAGAGCTGTGATTTATCCCTGTCCAGGAGGTTAACTAAGGGTTAATTAGGGGACAAGGACAGAGAGAGGAGCCAAGTGTTTAGTGAGAGCCCAGGAGGCTAGACCAGGCTCACTCAGTGATGGAACAGAGGCACCACAGTGCAGGGGCGAGTGACCACTGGGGAGAGCGGCCACAAACAGACACGTTAGGTGGGAATGCAATCCAGTAGGGACCTCCGAGAGCTTACCCATTCTCTGCCAGTCCATGGTTCAATCTGACATACCTAAGTGTATCAAATTCTGGAAACTTCTGAATCCTGCCATGCCCAGCCCGCTGCGCCTAGAACCAGCACTGCCCCATTAACATCTGTACAGCTTAATGTGTAAGAGTTCGTCTGCTGCCTGAGTTCCAAGCTCGGCTCTGGCCCTCGCAGGCTTACGTGATCTTGAGCAGACAGCTCAACCTCTCCATGCCTCCATTTCTTCATCTTTCAAATGGTGCTGACAACAGTACCTCCCCCAGGGGGTTGCTCTGAGGATGAAATGAGATAACACATGTAAAACTTTTAGAAAGTGCCTGGCATGACGAAAGTACTCCAAACGCGTCAACCATTGGAATCACACAGAGACCGTTTCCTGTCTCTGCCTCTGACTAGCTGTGTGACCCTGGGCTTATGGCTTAATCTCTGGGCCTAGTTTCTGTCTCTATAAAATGGAGATCTAAACCCTACCAGACTTATCAACATTCTTTTCGTTGTACCCAGTAGTAACAAAATCACACTGAACTGAAAAAAAGAAGAAGAGGAGGAAGGAAGGTGTTATTCAATTAGGAGGTGGATCGTGGTACCCAAGGGGAGGAAATGAAACCGACCCTCAAGAGGGTTTGGAGCTAGGAACTAGAGAATCATCAGGGACTGGGCTTGCTCTCCTCATCTCTCTGGGCCATAGGTCTCTTGATGTCTCAGCCCCAAGTGATTCTCTCTGCCTCTGTCTCTCATCTCCCTTCCTCCCTGCCTCTTCCAGGTGGGCACTCTCTGCTTCTCTAGGCTCACAGTCCACATGGCCACCCCACCATCCTTCAGTGCCAACAGGTGCTGACCAGTGTCTCTGTTCCAATCCAGACTCTCAGGAAAGAATGCGATTGAACAAGCTTGGCTCAGGTGCCACAGGAGCCGACCATTGGCGACCAAAGGGAGCAAGGTCACGTAATTCACAGAGACTCTGAGACCCACGCCAAGGGAAGGAGGTGCCAGGGGCTGGGCAGCTCCTCAAATGTTGAACCTCACAGAGGACTGTGAGGATTTGCTGAGGTCAGGGGTGCTAAGTGCCAGGCACAGGGCCTGAGGCACAGACACACTCAGAGGTGTGTGTCCTTTTGCTGGAGTCTGGAGGATGAGATTTTGTTGAATGAGGGTGGTAAGTAGATGTCAAGCTCATGTCACAGGCAATGAGGGGAACAAGGAGACAAGAGTCGCCTCAAGAGTGGCCTTTGCGTCCCAAAGAAAGGGGCTAAACTCCTGTGGGTAGATCTTGGTGGAGAAGATGTCTTTAGAGTGAAACAATAGGTTCTAAAGGGCGTGGGACAGAATAAGGCAGGGCTTTCGCAAAAATGGTGTCTTCCTCAAGCTGGGTTTCCTTTTTATGCCTAAACCCAGAGGGAAGTGCTTTTGTGACAGCCCAGCCCGAGAGACGGGCTCCCCGAGTCTCTACACAACAGGAGAGAACCCACAATCTAGTCTCATAAAATCTCTTCGTAATT